ATCGATCCATCTGGATCGACCTAACTCCCTGGGGGTTCATGCTACATTGCTCTCAGCCGAGCGCGCACGGAAAGTTAATTACCCCCATTACAGCTTTTAGTAGGCGGGACAGACATTTAAGCTGGCTAAGCTGACAGCAATCTAGTGAGACTCCCCACGGGGATAGATCGATCTAAAAATGTGTGGGAATGCAGTCTAGACACCATGCAACAAGACGTCCCCGCTGGCCACATTGTTCGCAATCACCTCGAAACTGTTACAAACATGGAATAATCGATGTCTAACGTGCATCAAGCTAATGGAAGGCTTCTCCATGGGACTCCGTTGTTATGAATTAGGTAATGGGTTTTTGCGACATTATATCTCTGGATGAATCAGCTCTGGTTTTCCATGCTGCAGTGAATAATTTCTATACAAATAACTATAGAGTTACAATTGATGTAAAACCAATGTTAGTGTTGCAGATGTGGCCGATTGTTTAAAAAATGACGAGATATTAACCCTTTGGCGTTTTTAGGCGTATTCATTAAATAAATTGCTATCATTTTTGCTCATGTTTTATTTATTTATTTATTTATCAGGAGATAACAAATGAGCCCATCTTCGTCCTTTTTATAGCATTTGAAAAGCGGGCGTAAAACTTAACGCTGAGCACCCAGCACGGCATTCGAACACGCAGAGTTTCAATCTCAGTGCTCTTCTGAAACTACTGGTGTTACGGTCAGCACTAGATCATATACGGCAGCGGGACGGAAGTGAGTAATCCAACATGGCGGTCCCTAGCGACGAGATGCTAAGGCTGATAGTCGAATGTTGTAGTGCCGATCAAAACACAGTTCAATTTTTAATCGTATAATAACTAGGAATATAGCATATAATTTTTATTTACTTTTTAATTTATCTTTTTATTTTTGTATCGTATTATACCTAGGATTTTGTAAACTTTGCGATTTGAATAAAGTAGATGAGTTCCACCTCCTGCTAGAGTGCAAAGCATATGATTCAATACGCGATCCCTTCAGAGGGCAGCTGTCAGAGTTCTTACCCCTAGGCGACTTCAGCTTTAATGAACTGTATAATTTTCTTATGGGTGCTCAAGACTTAAATATTCTTAGAATGGTTATGCGTTTTGTAAATAGATGCTTCCAACAAAGGGAACAAACCCTCTCTTATACATTGTACTCTTTTCAGTGTTTGTATTTAAATTCATCGCCTGTAGATTATCATTACACATTTTATATATATCACTTTATAAACTCATTTATTAGTATTATTATACATTTATCTAATTGGGTCTAAATGCGTTTCCACGTCCTGCAAATTTACGTATCTGTAGCTGGAGTTGTCTGTTTTACCTCTATGATTGTACTTCGGCCCATTTTTAAACACGTATTCATCTATAGGCCTATCGCATCAAAATAATGTATATTTATTCATTTACTTATTTGTACTCTGCTATAGTTGTACTGTCTTTGATTGTACCTTAATTATTTGTGAAGGTGTATCAATAAAGAATTCCTAGGGATATAGCATACATGTATATTTTCCTAGATATTTTGCTGTAAAACTACATCCTATAAATGTCTCGGCGGCGCCACTCGGAACTACTCGGATGTCTCCGCACTCGACAATAAGTATGGTTAGTCTGGAGCTTGCGGAATGAGCCGAGGATTGCCGATTGCGGCGGCGCTGGGGGCCGCCATGTTGGATTACTCACTTCCGTCCCGCTGCCGTATATGATCTAGTGCTGACCCTGGTGTTACAAGGCAGGTGACCTTCCACTTGACCTAAACTGTTAAACACGTGTTAAACACATAACGCACTCTTGGTACCTGTTCATCATCTAAGGAATTCCTGTTTGGTAAACACAAGGTGAAGAGATATAATTTACATTTGACTTCTGTTAACCCGATAAGCAGCATTTGTTTTAATGGGGATGAATATTTTCTACCTGGAGTATTTTCATTTTACATGGGTGGGGGTGGGAGGTCGGCTGTTTCTCTGAAACTATCTGCGCAGATAGTTTCTTAAAACATCTAAAATATCTAAATTCAGAGAGATTCACAATCTTGTTAACGAATTTTCAAGAGGAGGCGTGCTAGGCTGTTGCTCTGATTGTATTCAGCGAGAGTCCTCGTGGAGTCGGATCACACAAGCTAAGTCGACAAAACTCATTCTGAACAGACTGCCCCAAATACACCATCACCATGAAATTGAAGGTGGTGTAAAGGTGGGTCCAAAAGATAATACCAAAATAGGTCAGAACACGTAACATATCGGCTTGACCTTTATCTGAGAGCGTTCCCTGGATTTACTTAAAACGAGGTAGGGGCGGTGATTGATGTCATATTTACAAAATATGGAGTACTTGTTCACCGGCATCTCCTGGGCTCACTCTTTACGGATAATCCGCTTATTGTGGCAGTGCGTTTTGAATTAAATCGACCGCGGAAAATTCCATTTCTGACACTGTGTTAAGATAGCCATATGTCTTGAAACCGAATTTACTTGATGAAATTTCATTGAAAATACGGCTTATCAAATCAAATATTTCCCGGACCAGAAATAAGTATACTGTATATAAATTTAGATCTCTTCCTTCATTAGTTTGCAGAAATGGACATCGTTCGATATTCCTTCAGCCTTTAGTCAAAATCCCTGGGAAAAAATATGTGTTATTTCACATATATAGATTTTTTCCGGTCAAATGAAATAGTTTCTGTTCTGCCACACTGTGGAAGCCATACAGAATTGACGATCATTCCCAGACGTCACCACAGACAGATAAAACCTGATAAAGAACGACATAAAATCGACTTAATTTCAAACGCAAAAACCCTTTACAGAAACGGAGTATGTAGTTAGAGATGAATCCCTTGGCTTATGGTTATCTTCGCGCATTTCTGTGTTATAAAAGGCCTAATAAAAGACCACGTTGCATTAAGCCAAGACGCAATTCACGTGGCTTTTTTTCAAGCACGCAAGAACCGCTGATGTGCAGAGTGAATTTCAATTTAAACAAAGGCGTATTGTGGACTGCACTTACTGCTGCAGTCACTGATGTGTTAATGCTATGTTGATCGAGATGTTATAAATATTTCCCTGGGCAGGATGTTACATTTTGAGTCAATTTACTGCTGTTCAATTTATATTCTTCTGAACCACCGTGGATTTGATAATGTTGATTTTTTGTTTATTGTGAGAAAAGAAACCAAATCTGGCGAGTTGGTTAAATGAATGAATATGAATATCTGCATATTTAAGTGTTTTTTATTCCTGGCAACTCAATAGGTAGACTGATTTCTGTATTTATATCATAAACCAATGCGCCCGACAGCCGTCACATTTTATAAATAAGAAAAAAAACGTTGAAATATGAGAATAGGGTAGATACATCGATTTCTAACGTGCGATCAAAGACCACGGAATTAATATGAGTGCATGACAATACCTACTATCCGACCTATGCTGATTCATTTTCTGACAGAAGAGACGAGAAAGCAATGGGGGTTTCGGAGGGGGGGGGGGTCGGAAGAATCCCTTTTTTGGGGTAAATGTCTCCCCTGGGTAAATTTTTATCTAGGTATACGAATGTTTTATGATAAAAAGTCCACTTTCTCAGAAAAAGAGCTCCCTTTTGGAAATTGCTGGTTACAGGCCTGGGTGTACTACATGTATACTAGCTCTGTAGATAGATTGATAAACAAATCGAAAATATATCGACGGTAGACGATCATCTTCTATATACCCATAGATTTAGACTAAGGTGAAAACATGACTGTTCAGTGCATTATCATAAGTATGATAATGCATTCTCGCCTCGGTGAAAATATCACGGTGTCATATATGAATGAGCCCTATCCGAGATGAGATTCAACTTTTTGCCTAGTGATGGTTGCATAATTATTTCACCTTGACTTAATTCAGTGCGAAAACGGCATATTATTTTATCGATTATTTTGCTGTCTTCTCCTGTCTCCTGACGATGATGGATAGACATGGGATAAAGCATATGCTTAAAACCTTTTATTTTCCAAAATCGATGGGTTTGTCACACGCACACTGGAAAACGTTGTAAAAAGCGTCACGCCTGTCTGTGCGTCTGTCTGTCTTTCAATCTTGACATGTCTAAAGAACAAAGGAAGGGGACCTGAAAGGAGTAACGACATGTCAACATTCGAAATTATAACTTAGATTTTACTTCAATTAAAACAAAAAAAAAACTCTTCCGTGACCAGAAATATGCAAATAAAATCAAATTATCAATCGTCTCTTACCATCCCTTCCAATTATATTTTGACGATCGGTGTTATTATGCGCCACAATTAAAAACATATACATATAAAATGTGTTATGGTTACCAAAAATGGAACACGTGTTAACTTACGAGGTGATTTAATGTTGTATTAATTTACAATTTCAGGTTCGTTTTGAGGACATTATTGCAGAACCGGACGACTCAGTATACAGCTTTGACAAGGTCTGGATCCTGAGCCACAAGGTAGGATATTGTGTATGCTAGTCGGTGAGAATGTATTATTTGGAAGAAACTCTATTTTCTGTAATTTCTGCACTACATACCTGTCCTAGTCTACGTTGCAATTACAAATAAATAATAATTAAAAAGCAAATTATAATAAGAAATAGAATATCACAATAAAGAAAGGAGGGAATAACAGGTCGGTTGGATTATGTTTTCCTGTTCGTACCCTGAATTTCAAAAGTTCAGAAGAGACTGGACACTCACCTCTCTACCACTGAGGAGTCTGGAAACGCACCTCTATATAGGCGGGACATTAATGACAATATTTGGGCGAGTTCCATTGCCGTCTAAAACACAGGATGCCTGTTTGAGATTCAACAAATATATTTTTATTATAAGAGATCCTTGAATTGACTACAAGATCTGTGTTACATACATGTATAAATATGTGGTTTGTGCAATGTGTGCGTACCTGCTGTTCAATTTATAGTTTTAGCACTATGAGAAAACTATTACACAGCATGCGATGCATATTTCGCATTCACTTAGAAATTCCTGAAGTAGCTGCATCGACATATATCGCTATGGTTGTAGTCCCACACTTTCCATTAGATATCACACTCAGAGCTACTGAGACCCACACGAAAATCACGGCTTTAGGGCATAATACATTAACATTTCACTTTTCCATTAATCGTGAAGCGTGAATCGTGATCCTGTATTTCCATTACGAAAGTGACACAAAAACTAGAGCTAGTTTATCCTGGTACATCTTAATTTTACCAACGGTCTTGGATACTGTGTAGCTTGTGATTGGTCATTGGGTAAAAATTTGAAATTTCCAGGAAAAAAATACGAATGTGTTGTATAAAGTCATAATTACGCTCATGGTTGGCCTGAAAACATTTTCCAGGTGCACTTGAATGCTCTAGTAAGGCCACAACCGCATGCTGCTACACATCATCGTAATCATGTTCGCCTGTGTTACACATTCCGTTATAAGGAAAATGAAAACAATGCCGGCACGCAGTGCAGAATCCATGCGTTTGTTCCGCACATTGCGTTTCACGAAGGCCAATTAAGTCTTTTTATACATACGAGACTATTTATAAAACATAAAGAAATGCCTTTGTTTTCTATCATGTTTATTGAACTAGATTTTTTGTGGTCAATTTTTACAGGTATGGTAAGTACCATTACAGAAGACAACGGGAAGAAAAGGTCACGACTTATTGAACATTGCCACTTAGCACTGACAAGCGTGAACTTCACGCTTATTTGGGCCCTATCTGAATTGATCACGAGTTTATATATCAAAATCTTCAGCTGCGTTGGGCCGTCCAGTCTGTGCTACAGTAAGCCAAGCAAGTCAATTCCATGTTTTCCAATAGCCATCTCTGTTGCAAATAATGCCGCTTAACATGCAGCGGCACCTGTGAACGCATCAAAAGCGACCTAATGAGACTTGATGCAAACGAGGCTTAAAAGGTCTATAATCAGAGCGACTAAATGCACTGCCCACGCTCCACGCTTCTGATGCTGTGAGCGTATTTCCTATTCCTTTATAGGAATATCACAAGACAATCATAACTGGTAAATTGCAAATGCAAATTTTGTAATAGACTCACTTCTACAGTAGCCTGCTAGCGTACCCCCTGTGGTTAGAAAGTACTTGCTGTCATCGTCCACTCGAAATGTAGCTACACAGGCCTGGATATATGTATCACAGTGCCCATAACACTGACCAGGGACCACACGGGTTCACAGTTTATACACCCCATTTAGAGCTGGGTCAGTGTTTATGCCCGGTACCGTAGGTTCCGTTTTTCTACAAACAGCACAAATGGTCTAATTTCTACGTCGACCTAGACCATCAGGCACGAAACCCTATCAGGGTATTACAGTACTTTCTTGATACAACAGAACCCAAGCTATTCCCCATATGGACAAGTGTTTTCAAGAGAACTTCAATAGTTTGTAAATTAACGTAGTTTCAGTCTTAAGATGGGTATGTGCAGTGAACCCAGGGTGCAGTGTCCTTTAACCAAAATTAAAAAAAGAGAAAAGCACAGAAACAGGAGAGACCTTGAGTAATTTTACAAAAAATATTTTTCCTGTCATTATTCAATCATTTTCATTCACATTTTGTCAATAAGGAATTTTTGTCGCTCATTAATACGTGACCGGTATACAAATTCTGATTAAAATCGTTTTCCTAAGATACCAGAGGTGTTTTCTACCTATGGGGCATATCAAGTCAGTCATGTTATCAAGGCTTTTTGGAGAATTTAGATTCGAAACGTCATGTCCCAACGTTACATGTTTTGTCTCTTTAGGTATGGTTTTACTTTTGATCAGCATTACAAAGATACAATGAAAAACTCTACATGTAGATGCAAAGTCTGTCCAGCAGATTTGAAGGATTGTTATTCCTCCCTTTATATTCCAAAGAAAAGTAAGTAAAATGTGCATTTTCTCAGTTTCACCAGATTTGAGCCACAGAACTGATATTTTGTCAGAACATAACATCCTTTTAAGCCCAGTTGTATAGCAAAGGTTCCAATCCTCTTTAGCTTTACAGTAAGTTATTGCATTGGTCGTTAATTCCGGTAGAAGCGCACAATTCCAGCGAGTATAGACTTTGTCACCATTTATTGATGAGATTGCAACGGTTATTTGGTCCAAAGTCGTTATGTCTAAGAGCAATAAAACTGTCATAGTGATGTAGTATGTATGTCTAAAACATATTTGTACAAAACCCTGAACGATCTATTAAAAAAGAAAACATGTCGTAAATGCTGGGATATGTCATATGAAACGTGTGAAGCCAAGTCTGTCAGTAAAACATAATTCATCTAATTGTTTGAAAATACGTGAACGGGTCTATAAAATTTGCAAACACTTTGATAATGAATGTTCTTTTTGTCTTTCTTGCAATTATTCCTTAATTTCTAAGGCGAGTTCGGTTAAACTCGATAACACTTGCTTTCTTGCCTCTTGAAATTAAGTGGATTGAATCACAAGACGTAGCTCGCAGAATACATGTTGTTATCACGTACAGCACCACAGGCTTATGTATATGTACATATATATATGTAGATGGAATATATGAATATTAGTTAGATTAAACTAAAAGCTTTGTTTTCCTTTGTAGATAAGAGAAAATGGCTCCTTGACATTATTAGTACGCAAACTGCCCCTTCACATTTTAACAAAACGTTGCATTCACTCACACACACAAAAAAAAAAAAAAAAAAAAAAAAACGCGCGTGTGCGCTTTAGAGTGAATCGAATTCTATCTATCAATGTCAAATAACCCATTACAAAATTCAGAAAAAAACTACTAATATGCACAATCGCTTGGATGATTACACGTCTATATATATGTGTGTGTGGCTATTTGGCCAAACAGACCAAAGTAGATATGTTAGACTGGAATACATTTGAACATCGCCATATCGCAAATACAAATCTATTATCCCCCAGGATGACATGAATATGGATTTTAAGATTAGATTGCTTCAGAGAGCTTTGTGTCGGTGGATGCGTTTCGGCATTAAAAGAAGATATAACAGATATTTGCACACGTTGCTGCAGAAATTAGACGTGTGGGCTAGCATTTGTGTTTGTGGGAATACCTTTTCAGAATATTTACGGAATGGGATATTCATAGGCTGTAAATCAATTGTGGTGCAAGCACTAGGATACCGGGAGTGCACCAACCGTGTCCAAAGTGCCCCACGCCCCTGGTATAATAATATAACATTGAAATAATATACCCAACCACGCCCATTAATTGTTTCCTTTCTCATATGGCCAATTCATCGCATAGGGTTGGTTAGGATTTAACTAATAACCGTGAATTATATATTTAAACTTGAGTTTTAAAATGGCAATATGTAGCTTTTTATTATAACTAAAAACATATTTAACCAAGCATGCAAATGCCACATCACGTTGGTTGCTGTTCATCAAAATCACTTTTGTTCAAGAAGTTTCCCTTAATTCTTCTCCAGGTTTTCCATGGGGCAAAGCTCTGGTGTTACCGCATCTTCTCCCTGGTGCTCGGTCTCCCATTGGCCTGCTGCTGGGGTGTCTACTTCGCCTGCCTGTCTTTCTGTAACATTTGGTGCTGGATCCCCGCGCTGAAGGCATACGACATTGAGATGGGCTGCGTGCGCAGAGCCTGGTCAACATACCTTGGGGCCATCGTGGCACCGTGTTTTGAAGCCGTTGGCAAGATATTGTCTGGTATTAGAGTCACACACATCAACCAGAACTGATAGGGGCGTGCAATCGAATACTCCTCTGGGATGATTTCATTAATTTTGTAGAAACGATGTCTAGAAGCCACGTTGTATACCACACATTCTGTAGTGACAATTGGCATTGAAAGCTCTAAGACAAATTTCTCTAGATACATGCAGGGAATTGTGTTAGTTTGATAGTGACATAAAACGTTTATGTCTTTGAGAGTGGTATTTTAGAAAATGTATCTTACAGATATCTCATAAAATAAATGATAGTATATTTTGGCTCTAATAATGATATTTTCAGTCAATTTATTTTCAGTCAATACAACGATTGCTTATTTTATCATCACGTGTCACATGAAAATTAAGCGCCATTATTATCCAGATCGAGGCTAATACCAATCATGTTGTTCTGCTTCCGTAAAGACGTCAGCTTTATGTAATCAAAAGTTGTAAACCAAAGATGTAAGACAGGCTCATACGTGTGTTGCAAATATCTCATGTATCTGGAAATACTACAACATATATGGATTTTGTACAGTTTTCACCTTTAAGCATATTTCATTATTTCTGATACTTTTGGTTTATAATGGGTAGCCTATACAGCGCAGTTGCGAGATATATAGAACCTTTCTAAATTTTATTCCACATATAAGTATTCTACTATAATTCATACTGTAACTATGAATGCAACACGAGGTATATTTTGAAAGTGCATATATTTTTTATCATTTCTATACATCTACGTGTATGTAATCAAAAGCATACATATATTGAATTTTGTATTTTAGTATAGAACCTAGATTTTAGCCTGAGTTAGATAAACATTTATCTGTAATTCTGTATTATTTTATTACTGGGAATATTTCAAATAAACTCATGCTCTTTACTGATGTTTGTAATAAGTTGTTGGGGGGGGGGGGCACATCTAGTGGAGCTATGGTTTATATGGAACGCTTTTCAAGTGTTCGGATTCCATTTCAAACACGTTCACAATTGGTGCAATTTGTATACTCCAAATTAATATAAGGACTACCCTTGAGTAATTTACACCCGAACCATCTGGAGCTTCTCTCAATGCAGCACGAGACATCAGTAGAAACCACTGTTAGATCCAGTGCTGTACTATAAAACCTCTCGTGGGATAGAATCGCAATTAACTAATAGCGTCTTCTCTTACTTTCTCATCATCAGCAGTGTGATTCCGAATGCAGATAATTCAAGACAGCTAAATAATCCAATTGTTTCTATATGCATTTCTGTTGCGTCTTGCTAAACGCAATTTGGTTATGTTTGCACATTCATCAGTTATTTCTGTGGATTATTTACAGAGACTGATCAAAGTGATTTTCTTTAAATAGTTCGACCAAGCGTAAGTGCTCGGTATGAATGCCATTATACGGATAAATATACCAACAGCATCGTGTGAAACCCCGATGGTCCGTTTGGTAAACAAAATCTCGACAAACGAGTCGACGGGGGACTTGAAGGCAGCACCATTTGTTGGTGCAAGTGGTGGCGTGACTCTCTACGTTCCAGTGAGGAAATCTTAGGTACATGTATTATATATATATACAGGTATATATGCCATTGCATGTAGGTGAATCTACATTTTACCGAAAGGGGTCACTGGTGTAGGCAGAGGGTGTCGGGCGTATAATCTATGAAATAATTTTGTATTGATTCTATCCCTAGACATGCATGCTGCTTGTCGCCTAATATCACCAGGTCATGCTTGGTGGATGCAAATGATCCCTTTTTTCACTGAGGTGAATCTATTATAGAAGGGAGACTGACAATTCGCTGAAGGATATAGTCTCAAAAATGCTAGTGGATTGAAGTATAATGTCAATGCTATTAATGTTGTTTTGCTTTTTGGGGGGATGAACCATTTATGTATTTTTGTTGCTTTTCAATATACATCCAAAATATGGTGTTGTATTCGCCGTTTTTTCATAAAGAGAACTTTGCCTATCAGAAAGGTAGAAATTAATATATACATACATGTATGCCAGTTAAATAGATGGAACTATCCGGTACATACAGGTAATAGCCGCAAACGAACACTGCAATTTCATTTTTCTTTTATTTGACAAGGTGGCATAATTAGACAATGACCTTATGGTAACGTTGTGGATTGAGTATAGTAAAAATGGCATCGTGTCTTCTCTAACACAATCCCGTGCTAGTAAATTGGTCACTTTCGTTCAACGTACCTTTCAATACATGTATAAGGTAACGGTTGGTAAGCCTGCTCACATGTAGTCAAATGCAATGGTTAGCCAAGTATTTGTTTTTAATTTCATTATCTAGCCAATAATGAATTCAGCAATCCCGAAACACTGACCTTGAGATAGAATTACATCATGTATTATCGCAATAAATACTGAATTCTTAGCTCGAGGCTTCCGCGCGGAAAGTGGGTGAACTGTTTCTCAGTAATGTAGATCAGGTGATCTTATTGTGAGAAGTGTTCAGGTAGGACCATGCAAGGTCAGTCGACGACGGAGAATAAGGAATCCCCATTGCACACTGCTCCAATTTCCACGAGAAAGCCGACAAAAGGGCACTGAAAACGACAACAATCTGCTGTAAGTATTGCATTGACGGTGTAAGATTACACTGTTACCTTTACAATGGCCACATTTGTCAAAAAAGACACATTTGCCACTTGAGGCATAACGACCACGGAGGTACATGTACATAGACCTGTATCTTTTTAACGTGAACTATCGAACCAGAAACCCTTTACCTTACAAGTCCGAAATAAGCTCTATGTTAAAATAGTTTTTGTTATTTTCAGAAGAAATAAAGAAGTAAATGGCTTATTCCAGCTGCTCAAACGTCTGAATGCAGACAGGTCTTTGCTAGGTAGATAACTATATAATTGCAGCACGCACCTTATAAGCATAATTTTATTACTAACGTAATATTTTACTATTTTCAAAGCACCAAAATACACTTAGTACTGTCCATCAATGGTCTTATCCGAAAACTACAAATGATTCCGTAGTACATAATATAGCAACCAAGAAAGAAAACAAACGAACATATTCCATGGCAATGTTTAATTCTCTCGACTTCGATGTCTTTGATTTCATTTCCATCCCCTTCCTTGATATTACAATTTGCATATGAAGCTTTGCATATATGAAACTTTTGATTTTAAATGGTGAACCTTAACTCAACAGCGATTGTATGGGCATATAGGCTTATATTTCGTGTGTTTATGTAACTACAAAATTTAGTATTGATTGGATTTGTTTAGTTAAATGTGAAATATATACCGAAATCAGTTACTGTCATGATTTTACAGTGCTTTACTTAACTGTAAATCTCCTCCTTTCATTTTTAGTGACGCTTACACGTACCTACCTGCAAAGAGACTGGATGCAACATCCGCCAAAGAAGATTCGCGTTTGACAGCGCCTGGACTCTTAACTAGATTTTCTCGTTTGCCGAAGTTTATCTCCTTAAGCTATTGAAGCTTCTTGTTATTTGAAGGGTTTTTATATGGAATATGATATTCGTTGGTGGTTGTAATATTCTGCCTGAAAATGTGACTCAAACCGAAAAGCCAATTTATACATTTTTGAGCGGATAAATAGGTGTTAATGGAAATGGACTTAATTCATAATAATTGTCAATCCCGTAAGTTACTGCGTTTATACTCTACGAGTGTGACATTCCCTAAGTCGTACGTATGCGGTACTCTATCTGCCCATAGTGTTTTAGTATTATTCCCAGAACCTGAAACTTCACTTTTGGAGATATTATTCAACGGAAATAATGCCTATACAAACATAACCTTGCTTGAGTGATCATAAAAAGACAGAAAAATTGTTATTGCAAAAATAGCATGGGATGTTCTAATAGAGTAGTGCATATTGTACGATCCGTTTTCTGTCTGACGGTAAAATAGTGTGGGGAAAATCTGCATTTAGAAACTTCACTGTCTTTAAAATCAATTTAATATTCTATCACGTTATATTACTTTGAATGCAAAATTTCGCATCTCATTGCGTAAAAACGTAGATGAATGCATAGATTGTGTGTTCAGTAGAAGAGAACGAGATGTATTTGCGATAACCCAATAACACTGTCATCTCAGTTATAACACCTCAAATATTACATCTTTTTGATACTGAAAATCGCCCACGCCATTGCAGAATTATCCACACTTATTCAAACGATATTTTTAAAAATGTGAATGTGCGGTTGTGGCGCATTTGCTTAGAATATTTTTTTTTTTCTGTTTTCTGTGTTTTGGTGCCATGTGCCCGATTAAAGTGACACACCCATGTTTAGTGTTGAGAGTGGGTCAAAATGTTCGTATGGTTTAAAAACGATGCAGCCAGGTGTGGGGTAGACACTTCTCTCCTTAACCAACTATTATTGCAGAATGAGAATATACACTGTGTGTTGTGTACATGCTAAAATGTTCCAACTTGGAATACAGAATGGTTGTCGAAAAGTGATTTGGAGGGAATGTTTTGTTATGTCGACAGCTTTTTTCAATCTTGTCCAAATAGATTTTAAAACAAACTGATAAGAAATTTACAGAAAAATTTAATTGCATTATCATTCATGCTGATATTTGGTACACTTTTGCTTAATACTTACTGCAATCGCTCATTCAATATGGAATTTATGAAGTTATCATCAAGAAGTATTTTGTATCTCAAACCTATATTATATCAATATTGTATTAATGATTACATTTTGATTGATTTGAATTTTTGCAGTCAAAAGTTTGTATGTCAGCATTTTATTTAGGGCAGATGCAAAGAATATGTCACATTTAAGTTAGATATGATGGACCTTTGCTTTTGTTAAAGAAACACTTGACAATCCACAATTTAATGTTCTTATATGCCTTGCTTTTTTGTAACGCTCTGACATTGTTACTTTTGCATTGTTACTTTATGTATGAAAATCATTGCTTTAATTGTTTAATTTCATTCAGACAATAATAAACGCATCATTACATTCGATCGTTCAAATTTTCAAAATGTATGGCATATTTTCTTCACCACTCCTACCATTCGTTTCATATTTCTGTAGTCCGTAATATGTCATGTTGCTGCTATGTTCTTTTTCTTTTTGCAAAAAGGAATTTGCTGGGACCCAGAACCAAGCGGATTCGAACCAGAGACCTCTCGTCTCTGAGGCAAGCGCGCTATCCACTCCCCTACGTCTTCCCACCCTCCCTCCTCGGGTAGACTTTCTTCTAATAGTAACCGAAAGAATTGCCCAAATGCCCTACGGTTATAGTAATTTCCCAAGTAATTGACCAAGGATTATAACTCCAACTGATTGGTTATGTCTTTGCCAATGAAAGTACTAAGACAGTGTGCATGTTTGGAAATAATTTATTAATAGCAAAATCAATATGTGTTCATTCATTTCAAAAGCGTCTCTCATTAAAGCTTGGTTGATATTCACAAATAAAATGTCAACAAAAGTATTCGATTAAGGTTCATTTTATCAAAATAAAATTATGAAAAAGCACAGAACTTTTTAAGCATTTACTTTTGAAAGGCAATGGCTGGTCTAGTTCCAACTTAATCACCAACATAAAATGAACATGCAAAAACCAATAATTACTCGACATGGTACAGAATTTTTTAGAGTGCTCTCTTTCAAAATACAAGGGGCTCTTTACATTAGTTTGATATGAAAAATATTGACCGATAATAGGAGTGCCCTTACATGTGCAATTTGTGAAACGTGGACAAAATTAATAATCAAATGATGTATAAGCGTAACAGTGAAATGGGGATAAAATACTTCACAAATTTTATTTAGACAACACAGTATATAACACGTGCAATAATTAACTCCATCCTTAATCTATTCCTCTCACGGAAAGGAAACTAACGCCCCATTTCCATAGATTTTTAGATCGATCTATCCCTGTGGGGAGTTTCAATAGATTACTGTCAGCTTGGCCGGTTTAAGCGTCTGTCCCGCCTACTAAAAGCTGTAAGGGGGTAATTAACTATGGTGCCCGCTCGGCTGACTGCAATTTAGCCTGAACCCCCAGGGTGTTAGGCCGATCTAAAACTTTATCTTTAGATCGATCTAAATCTCTGGGAAAGCACCCTAAGCACTCTCTTTGCAGGTAGTCACTGGAATAAAAATCCATGGTAGGTGCAGTATGCCAAAGAACAGCAGGATTTGAAAACTTTGAAAAAATTCAATCACAGTCCCTTAATTTTTACTCAGAAGCTCGATTTTGTTCAGCATGTTAATGTCACAAATATGTTATCTATACTTTACGATAACACGTTTCAAATATTATTTTCTACCAGCCTATATTTCTGAAAATGGATAGTATTAAACGCACGACTAAATGTTTATCGAATTATCGATTGTGTTTTTTATAATGACATTTTCTCAACAAGGCAGTAAGTTCCCTAACTTCCAGTTATAATATCCCTTTTCTATCCGAGAACTTGAAACAAAACAAGCGACAAAAGTAAATAATAAGCGATTCTTAATTTCTAGTTTTTTGGGTAACTCTTTTATTGGAGAACGAGTGGTGCATCGTGCATTGTACGCCTTTGGAATAAAAAAATAATAGCAATGTTTCCAGAGTCCACAATGAGTGGGAGTATTTTTGGTTCTGCTGGGATCAAATTGACAAATAAATTCTAGCAATTAATAAAAAGGGTTGACGTAACAAAAAATAAATAAATAAAATAAATAAATAATTTAAGGTCACATTGTCAACTTATCAGTAAGCTGGTTTAAAAATGAATTTTCATACGATTTCATACGATTTGAAGATTACTCGCCAGGATAGAATTAAAACGTAAAATTTTATGAAATTAATCATGAAACGGTCCAAAACATACATTAAGTGTTTTCGAGGTTGCTAGAATATTTTAGTAAACTTTCGCCATGTAAAAATGTTATTTCTTGATAATTACTTCTTCCAACATATAAAAAAAGATCAAATTGAGCTTAAAGATTTTTTTCAAGACTATCTGGCAATCTGTCCATAGCTATGCGTACTTTATTCGCACCAGCCTACCTGTATATCAGTAAAGTCAACACTTCATGCCTTGCTGGAAAATATTACAAACAATAACATTTTACTAAGTAGAAATGCATATTAAGTCCCCATGCATAAAAAAATAATAATGATTAAAAGAAGACATGTCTAAAGGCATAGGGGGTGATATTCATTATCGAATCGAAATAAATAGTTTTGTAACCGATAACCATTTAGCCTTTAATATGCCACTTTTCAAATCTTATATATTTATTTGTGAAATACCTCATGATTGGTAAAGCAATGATCATCAAACACTATATAGAAAATACATCTGTATAGCGTTTTATTCAGAAACAGTGAAAATCCGTTCAAATAATATTTTGTGTCGTCAAATCGCCCCTATATATGCCTAAAAGCTCTATCAGTCACACAAACCAGTCTAACTTTACTTTATCTCACAAAAACCATGGATTGCTACATTTTATTTCATTTGTAAAACTGTACCAAAATTAGTAATGAGCATACATGTACATGAATATATAACTACAGGTGAACGTGTACCGTGTTCTTTAATTCGGAAATGGAAGACTATACCACTATACATGTTTCTACGTGTGTATACCATGTCATTTCATCCGGTAACCAAATGCCAATATTTTGAACAAGCCACTCCACAACTTTCTTTACCTCCATTACTATTTCCACGTCAAACTTTAACTGTTACAGTTGCTAATACTTTTATATGCACTAACGGAGGTCTAATAGATAACATGATGTGCAAAGACATTTTTCATCCCCATGGAATATGGGCTGTGAACTTTTGTAGACGAAGCAAAATGTTACGTCTGGTAAATATCGGGGAATGGCCAAAACCACTGACAGCAGGCGCACATTTAAATGAATCACAAATAACACATCTTCAAATTCCTAATAATAGTAAAGAAAAACCATTATTTTGGATAGTTTAAAACCTGTATACTTAGTCCCTACACTGCACTGCATCCATTCCCTTCTGACTCGACCGGAACTGAAGGAAGTGGCATCTCTCTCTAGAGGGTAAGTTCAATTAGATGGGGGAGGGGGAGGTGTGATAAATTTGTCACCTTTTTAATAAACACTCACCATAATCTGGCAGATGAAACCGCATTTATAATGTCCTAAATTGAAAATAAATTGAACGCATCTGTGTTCAATATATTCAAAAAAAAAAAAAAAAAATTACTCAAAGGAGATAAATCTCACAACCTTGTCCACCCAAAACTGAAGCGACATTATGTAGGTCACTATGGGTAGTGTTTGCCATGTTTGACAGATCAGACTGTACTGTAGCGCCATCTTGAGATGTAAATAAGCAATTATCGTCTCTACTGCAATTGGTTGAGCTGAACAAATTGTTTCAGATTTATTAAGTTAATTCAAGAAATGAACTCGCAGGAAATTATTTGTAAATGTACAAAGTGTAAACATTTTTCTCTGTATAATAAAAATGCACTTGGATACCGATACTTCTTTCAAATATAAAAATGGCGATTAACTGTAAGTTAAATTGGAACGGGACTTTAAATAAAAACTGACAAATACAAGAGTAACATTGCGCCATTACACGTTAATGGCAAGAACTTTTCAATTGGAAAATATGTTTGATCTTTCAGATACATCCTTTTGGAATCACTAAAATATATTTCTGTTTAGCAGTTTTGGTGCTTTTACTATAAAAAGTTTGACTATAAGTTAGCCTGCTTTTCAATGTAGTTGCTATCTGTACATGTTCGAGGACTGCTCATCGTGTGACTATGGTGGCAATCAGTCAGACGGTGGACCCATCATCTGCGGTTACAAATCATCTACAGCTGTCAAAGAAAGAAAAAACATTATGACCGGTTAAATGCAGCTTTATATTCTTTCAAATCAGTGATGTAATGACTGACAGGATTACGAACGTTAAGAAGCCGAGAAAAGGTTATAGGCGATAGTCTGCTAGCTATGGCATATATATGTGTGCTTCATAACTGCCAGGTTTTGGTTTTTTTTCAACTTTCATTTGATGTCCAGTACCATTAAACAAGGTGTATATTTCATTATAATCAATTAATATTCTCATATTTCTATATACTAAAACCTAAGCAGCTAGTAGATGACTCCTTTATTTAACCGTGTATGTTACCTTTCCCTGGTGTTTTTCGCTCTCTCCATTGCGGCCATCACGGCATCATGAACCATGAAATATATAAAATCATCACCAAACTTGTCACTAAAGTTGCTTTTCTGTAGCATATCTCTGATCTGGGCTGAAAAATATATAAAGTAAATTGCATCTTAGTGAACAATGCTAAATGATTAACACCTTTACTTTGAGTTCAAGTGTACGACAAACATTAACCAATTGAAGTTTACCGTTTTAGAGCTAGAGGAATGTGAAGACGATTTTGCAAGAGTAGGCCTATGTTATCAAGCATAGTTGGCTACACTCGGGGTAAACTTAATTCACGCACCAGTAGAGTTCTTTATTTACTTTAGATCTACAGGTATAGTGGAAAACGAATCAGTTTTCTAGCGTTTATAATTATGGCGTGATTTACATGTATATTCTGCGGGTTTCGTTTTTTTTTTTTTTTTTTTGCCTCTACCGTATGTCAAATTTATTCTAATTTCAGACCGGTTATCAACCAATCTAAGTATAAAAAGCGTTGTTACAAGGAAGAAAAAAACATTCACCGACTGGATTCGGAATTTTTTATATGCTTTCAACTCCACAATGGTCGGTGAAAAAAGCCTTTATCACTAACACAGGTCACAAAAATTACTGAAAATTGTTTTGCGTCCACATTAAGTTTCGTACAAGCGCGTGGCCCACCTACCTCTACACATAGCAAGCAGCACACAGATGTTGACTTTCTTGTATTCAGACATAACCTGCAAAGGCACATGAGATTTTTTTTTTTGTAAAAACACAGGTGATTATCCTGATATAAAATCCATGCTGCTCAAACGGCACTTGTGTATCATCTGTGTTAGTTTCCCTACCATTGCGGTGTCAATGACTTGATGTACTGATGTGGGACTTGCGTAATTTTCAATAAACTCAATAAAAATTTCATAGAAAATAAATATTCATTCCTATAAAACGTACACTCGTGTGCATATAATATGCTTGTATGCTTGCACAGAATTCAAGGTACACATTTGAACAACATGTAGTTTTTTATGCCCATGCGTTGACCGTATTATGTACCGGTAGTTGGACGGATATTCAAGACACCAACTAAAACCAGTGGTCTGGTTTTATAAAAACCTGTAAAAAGAAGAGACTGTTTGTGTTCCTTTATTTTTAAGCAATAAACGAACCCCCTCCACATACCAGCCACACACAAATTTACTCTGTGTGTGAGAGAGAGAGAGAGAGAGAGAGAGCAACCATTTTACCTGTTTCAGCACCTTGATACCAACGTCATCTATAAACGTCATAGCTGAGCAGTCAAGTATGATGTAATTGATCGGAGGTTGCGCCACCCTGTTGCCAACCCTCTTCTCAGAATTTTCTGTGATTTTTGTCGTTGCGACGTCCAGTACGAGTTCCTCTGTCGACTGACCAACACTAAGACCCTGGAAATGACCATTTACGTCCTTTGATATGTAACGTTCAAGGTACACTCCATGGGTTCGAAATCCCCCAAATGCTTATTCTGGGTCATCCACAGCTTCATATAAAACCTTTCATACGCTTATTTTTGGTCATCCACAGCTTCTTATAAAACCTTACATACGCATTAAACTGATTTAACCCCTTAAATAGAGAGTGCAGAGAGGTATAGATAAATAACTACGAGAAAACTGCTTATTTTCCCAGGAAATTCCATTTTAGTGGGTAAATCTCATGGAGCATACCTTTCATTAAATGTAAAGTTATTAACTCTAATATTTGACACTGACGGGGGGATTCAGAAGTTTCGTCCTCATACCAAGGACATCTTCAGGGATCTGTCACTACAAGTGACACTGCTGGTGGTAGGAATAAGAAATCAGGTCGCCCCTTTGACTTGGATGTGTTGGAAATGATGGAATGTTTTGCAAATTAGAGATGTAATTTTTAATATTAATTTCTCTTTGATTATTGTCGCAAAATAAATAATAAATGATAAACAGTTTTGAAATTATGAAAGTGGAATCAACTCTTTGAGCGATGTCGATTAGAAATGCGTATTCTGTATAACATAATTGGGCAGAATGGCAGGCCACGCGTACCCTAATGACGTAGAAACTGGTGTTTGCAGGTCAATTTGGCTCTGTCTGCACATTTGAAGGGTGCCAATACGCGACTTAAAGCAAGAGTGTGTGTACTAAAACGTTTGGTCTTTTTCGAATGGCTAACCTTTTTATAACCATTTCACAAGATAAAAAAAAAAAAATAGTTCACCGTATCTTACACGTTGTGTCTGGTCATCTTCCCCCTCCTTCGCACTCTTGTCTTCACCTCTGTCCTGTGACGTCATCAAAAGTCCAGGGTCACATCCGGTGGCTGAGTACAGCTTGTGACTGAAGCGTTCAGCGTTTGCGTAGTACAGGGAAGATTCAAATCGGAATATCTTGATTCCAGGGTCTTGTATGGTCTAGGTGTAAAGAATATGTAGGTTTAAATCGGTATGGCTACCCGATAAAAGTGGTAATTTGAAAGCATATTTCAGTCTTATGCACATTCTTCTGCATTATCTATGTCGAGATTAGCACTACAGGGTATGGCAATTTCAATAGAAATTGTACAAAAATAGATTTGATCCAATTTGCTCATTATTTACGAGTTAAATAGTTATGGATTTTTTCATAATTATTATTAAATTATCCATTATATGCTTATCAAGGATTTAACCCCCCACTCCCCAACTCTACCCAAATTATACACCATGTAGACAGTAATACTTACATTCTCATAGGATTTGGTATCCACGTATATTTCTGAATTCGGGACTCGTCCTAGCACAGATGACCTCGGCCTAAAATATAATTTCATGAAAATATGCAAATATACATACATTCATTGTATCTATTTATGCATGGGTTTACAAGAATACCCAACTCATTTTCATTTCTTTAAAATTTGGTACCTTTGGTTGCTATTTTCTTTTGGTACATGATAAAAAAGATAAAAAAAAGATAACAATACATTCTGAGTACTTTAATGTAGCGACCCTCGTCACTGGGACACACTGTACAAAATGGCATGATTACCACTGAGTTCTAAACACAACAGTCACGAGAGAGAATCCAACTCCAACGATCAGACCCCAGTCCACGTTCAGTAGCACTACGGCCAGAAACGTAACAGTCCAGATAGCCTAGAAGATAAGAACAGGATACCAAATTAACAAAATTAATAATGGCGGATATAGCGGAGGCACAGCGCCACGTGTTCCTCTTTAAGTCTCAGAGGTACATGCCATGCATCCCTTCTCTAAAATCAGTGATTAAATGAAAAATAAATGACGGGCGAAACTTAAAAGAATCAAGGTATTTTCCATCCTGTTGTCCTAAACTATGCATTTGTGACATTTTTCGAACGGATCAAGGCAGGTCTTTTCTTGCCCCCCCCCCCCCCTTTAATCCAGATCCACAACTGATCGGTTATGTACACGGTAACACGATGATTTCTAACAGTGAATATAAAACTGCAGTTGCGTGAACCTTAGACATGATCACCATAGACGGAACCTCACAGCGCCCCGAAGGAAAAAAAACAATTAAATGGCATGCTCTATGACAAGTTAATCGATCAATGCAAAGACTATGACGGCGAATAATGGTATATTTTTCTCTAACGTATATATTCTTTACTTGTTGAGTTCGGGGTTATCCGATTATCCGAGGAATATTGCCATGTGTCAAAAGATGAAATTACGTCCAATGTGTCAATAGTAACTACAATATAAGTGGCAATACTAATTGCGCTAGAAGTACCAAATAGTGAAGGTGGTATGGTGTATTGTGTTTGGTGTGACTGCGTGCATTATTTTTTGTAGCACAACCGTTAAAGTAATTATGTCAGATCCCTTACAAAATCAAATTTTGAAATCCTCCAGAGTCTCCTTAAATCTTTGACCTGCAGGAACATGCCTTTCAGTGCCACGATGACGATGGAAGCAAGAACACACTGAAATGAAATATTGTTGCTGATAGTTTATATCAATCTTTATACCTTTGTCAAAGCATTATTGAAACGAGTTGCATGTCTACCTGTTGGAGAGAATATTTTTGTCATTTGAAATATTCTCGCTGTACTAAGTAAAACGATACTTTTGAAATATTTGAAATGAAATTACTCAACGATTTAGGGTTAAATACAAGTAAAATTACATTAACAAAGGAGCAGACAAAAATATATACTTACTCTTGGAAGTGTCCTAAAAAGTGAGCCAGCAAATAGTATGACAATAAATATGAATAAACAGGAAACCAAGCTTGCTACCTGAAATCACATTTCTTGACACATTCATACATGTATGACAAATGTGTTGAATGGAGTAAAAAATAATTTAAGTCACTGCCTAAAAAGTTATGTCGCAAAATGCCCATTTCTCAAAATTTGCCTAGAAATGGAAAGATAATATTGGCAAAATCTTATATATTTGTTTGTTTTTTTAGACTAATGCGTTGTGGTATACCTGGGTTCTTCCACCAGTTGTCTCCTGCACCAGACTTCTTGACATAGAAACACAGCACGGGAATGTGGAAAAAACAGAACCAACCACATTACTCAATCCATAGGCAATAAGTTCCTGGAAATGTCCAAACAAACTGAATATTGTCCCATTTTGTATATGCAATCAGACGTCGCCATTTAACATTTGACAATAGTATAACCGTATATAAAATTCACAATTGCTTTCCTGTACTTGATCACTTACTCCTTTAGACTTGTGCAGTCCAATGTGCTGGTTTTTGAGCATTCATGAGGATTGGTAGTTATGTAATTAACTACAATTGTAAACATTTCAAATTGCAGCAAGCCATTTTTAGTCTAAATGGCATACATCTTCGACTAATGGTAGTTCTTATTCGCCGGTTTAAGTTTGCAGGCACAACTGTCACAGAGACTAAATGTATAACTACTGCAATCGCCATTAAAACCAAGTGCACTGTTCCGTGCAAAAAAAAAAGTATAGCACCAAAAAAATTCATTTAAAGAAACATAACTGACCTGGGTAGCATCGATGGTGTACGCCTGATGCTGGGCCAGTATCTTTGCCATTGACACTGATATGGTGAATGCAACAATTGACACTCCAAAAGCATCCATTATCAAATTTGAGAAATGTTCTACAGGTGGCAGTGTAGGCTCTGGAATCCTGTAAAAGAGACCAAATATTGGTACCACGAACACTTAAAAAACACATGAGATAAACTTCTACTTATTATTTACACAGGTGGTTTCTTTTTATCGCCTTTGATATGGTGTCATATACAAAAGCCTTTGCAAAATGTATCACCTTATAACTCTATATCATCGTGTCTCTAAAACAATTAAATCTTGCAAAAGTGATTTTTTTATCGATTGGTCACGGCTGAACTCTTATGTTGTCTATAACTTGAATTTTTATTAACGCGCTCGAACAAATATCTCGACCCCCAGAAGTATGAATCATTCGAATTCTATTGTAGAAGTCTTCTCGTGGTGCAAATGCAAATTAACCAAAGGCAATGATGGTCCTTCTTAATGATAAGTATTCAAACAAGGTTATTTACACACACCGACAACTCAAAATTGTTATTACCCTGTAGGAATGTACCCAACCACTGTCACCTTAAATTCCTCGTCTAGTTTAGCAAAGTAACATACAACTGTTGACACGATTACCTGAAATAAGCATTCGTATACGAGTTATATAAGTGAGAGAAATAAATACTTTTCAGCCAGTACGTATCACATATCTAAGTTCAAGAGTTCAATATCAGAAAAGAATTACCCATTCACATACAAGGATCTGTAAAAATTCGTTCCTAGAATAGACAGAAATCTAAAAATTTACGAAAATTATATTCAAATAAAAGATCACTTGTTGACCCAGGGTAGAAAAAATACAATACTCTTCCATTATCTTGGATTACCACATTGGTATTTGAAACTAATATATAAGAAGCCTTTTTTTTTCAAAATATTGTTCTCTAAAAAAAATAAAAATCATCAAGTTTACGTATTAAGTTACAGCAAAACAGAAAAGCTCTTCAGCCAGAAATTTGGGTTTAATATTTAGGCCTAAGGTGTAGGCTAGCGCTACTCAAACTGAATAAGATTTGGCACAGTTAATTGAAGTGAATATTAGTCTATGTTATAAGCCGTGTCTTAATGGTTATAAAACAAGGCCAGGCCAATTTATCATTGAATTGGCCAGCGATTTACCTAGGTCAACAAATACAGGATTCAGGCCTACCCAACTCCCAGACTTGGCACCTACGGACCGAGTCTGGTAGCTGGGTAGGCCTGGGATTAGGTCTAAATGTTAAGGTCTATTTGAGGACTAAATCCCGTTTGTGAAACAGGAAACAGGACACTTATTTATTTGATCACTTACCACTATCAGCTCAATAGGCACCGGCATTTTCATTTTAGATTTGAACCTGGCATTGATGCATTCTTTGGTAAGTGCAAGAGCCAGAATACATATAACAGATGTCGTCAAAGCTGCAAGATTAGTCTGTGGAAGACTTTGGAAGAATTGGATGTAAAACTGAAATATGAAATTAAAATTTATCCAAATTCTAATAGTTTTAGATAAATTTATTCACCGTTTACTTTTAAACACTCTACATACATAATATTATATGCACGAAATGTCACACTACATGTCCCACACTACAAAACAATGGTTAAGATAAATATAGGTCAATGTTTCAGACAACAAAGCAAGTATCACCTTTTTTCGTTTACGGTTCTTTTTTAAGCAATTTAAATTACATTTACTTTACCTTGACGAGTTTAAACGGATTGGTGACTTCTGACGCCTTAATACTGAGTCCAAAGACATGTTTTATCTGTGAAGAGAACACGTGACAGGCCGCCCCCGTGGTAAATCCACTAATTAGGGGGTCGGAGAGGTAGTTGGTGATAAAGCCAAGACGGAGAATTCCCTTCATCAACTGGAATTTTAAGAGATAATTAGGTTTTAATAATTCAATAAAAATAACAGATGTATTAGTTAAGTTTCCTGAACTTTAGACCGTTAAGTTCTATCACTTTCCTTGCAGAAATAAAATATTTAATCAAAGGGAATATATAAAACTATAGGGTCCATGTGTTTATCTGTTTTCACTTTAATAAAAGTAAATGTATCCATGATTCGACAATACATGAAGACAAAAATGTTCACATCCTGTCACATATCTATAAGTACGTAAAAGCATATAATGTATATCTCTTATGAAGTAGAAGGTCTGAAACAGACATTGGCAAGCATGGTGTACTATGCTAATCTGTTATCAGCGAGTCGAATTTGCTTGACTGCGGGAACATTTCGGTTGACAAACTTCCCATGAAGTAATATATCATAATGAATATGATAACTAATCGCTATACTCTCACCCATGGAGGATGAATGATAAGATAGAGCGAGATAAAGAATGGAGGATATATCACCTGCCAGAATCCAACCAACATGGCCAAAGCAGTTGCTACACCTATCTTGAAGTCCACGCACTCTTGGTTAGAGTTGGTATCGGCATCACATGTGATGTTTCCAGAAACTGGGGTGTCATTGGCAAAGCTTGAAACGTTTAAGATGTCAAGAGACGAAATAGGAGGTGTCCATGATACGGTTTGTCTGTCAACGACCGCTCCGGCCATGAGACAAACCACTGCCATTGTACCTAGCAATAAATAGAGTCAAAAGAGCTAAGTCCTTCAAACCGAATATATCAAATTGGTCAGAAATCTCATAGTCCTATATATTTGAAATTGGAAACTCGTGCTCGATTTTTTTTTTTTTTTTTTTTTTTTTTTTTTTTGTTGTCTGGTTATATTAAATATATATGTACTTGTATACCGTGTAGTTTTGTGCCAAATTAAAGACACATTTAGAGAGACTAAAACGTATGGTCAGTAAACTGATCGATGTACTTATCTTTGCCATATTACGCAATAGGTGGAGTATATTCCTCGCCTCATCTCATCCAACTCCTCCCCAAGAGATACTTACAAATAAAAATAAAACGGGGGTCGGGCGTGCTAAATGCATTGCACCGTCTCACATACCACAATGCTACACTCACCTATTGGATACTGACGATACACAATGTTTTACTCGCCCAAAATATACTCACCTAACCCAGTATTATACTCACTCACAGAATACTCATACAACACATAACAGTGCATCAAACTCACCTAGAGAAGTGTGCTTGGACGTCCCAAAGAAGAAGTAAACTAGCGGGGGGAAGAAGGACACATACAGACCGTGGATGGACGGTAGACCTGCTAACAAGGCGTATGCCATACCTGGAAACGACACGATGTCACCTTTATGACTACATGTTGATACTGGTTCAATAAGATACCTTACGGTTAATTTATATGTGATTCTGTAATTATACACTTTATCTTCACTATATACTCTTCACAAATAAGGAGGCACATCAGTAAACCAGCTATCAATAATTTATATGACATGACTGAGGCGATTATGCATGTAAGGTTTGGCACCCTGATCTTCCCAACAAGTAAAAAAAAAATTAAAAAGGAAGAAATACTTCAAAACAAATATAAGAATATGATATCCGGTGAGCTAGTATATCGACAAAAGTTCAAAATTACAAAAGCCGTACCCAAGCATTGTCGGCTACATAATTTGTGTAAAAATGTTCTACAAAAAATGTACATTCAATCCGTAAAAACCAAGGACAGACTGAACCAGACTTATTCTATGGGCAAAGCCAACTTTCCATAAATTTTATGATTTCATCATCAACATTCCAATACTAACTCAGATATTTAGATGTATTTAGAACACACGCGTATTTTAATACCCTTTATGTCTTTTTTAAAATTATAATGTATTATTATAAATATTATTATTCACTTTTCAGTCGTAAAAAATCGAAATACTATCTGTAGTATATATTCTTCACAC